AAGCGGAAATTCTCGTATTTCCTCGGGGACCAGCAGCTACTACATATTTCTAGCCAAAAGGATTTAAGCTGCTCCAACAACTGTGCTAAGGCTTCGTCTGCTGCTATGAAGAATGTCGGATAACTTCGGCGAGTCTTTGGCCGGTTTGAATCGTCACTATTCCCACGTTTGATATCAGCGTACATTCGACCCTATACAGAGTACGCCATCCAAGCTTGGAGTCCATGACNCAAGATGGTCAAGGGATTCCAATACCTGTCATACGAGGACAGATTGCGATCATTGGGACTATATTCTACTCAGTACCGCCGAACTCGAGGAGACTGGATTTTGACGTATCAAATACTGAAGAACCCAAACCATCCGTGTCGATCGCTTCTCATGGTATTACCTAAGGGGACACCGTTTCAAACTACTGATTCCAAAGTCTCGACTGGATTGCCGGCGCCAGTATTTTGCAGTTAGAGTATGCAAATCTTGGAATGCCCTTCCATCTCATGTCGTTTGTGCACCCACTATTGAATCTTTCAAGCAGAGACTCGATGAAATCTTGGCACACCTCACATTCGTACACTAAAGGCAAACGGAAATACACTGGAGCCTACATTCTCTATCTCCTACCCGGATCTCTATGTGACTCCTTCTTCGATGTGTAACGATTCATCTGTGTAAACATCCTATGGGACAAGAGAAGCACTAGCTTGTAAGCCATTCCCATAATAAAAGTTTGACTTTGCGACTGGCACACAAGTGATTCAAGTAAAAGGATGATCTGTAACGCTCAGCACACGCTGATTGAAACGTCAATTGAGCACGTCTGTGTATGCATGCGCAAAATCTAAGCACACTAATCCGGACTGATTAGCCATCGTCACGCACTTTCACACCTTAGTCAGATAAGCCTAATCTTCAAGGTTTGTTTCATATCCTCCTCGGCCGCAATCATTCACTATTACAATAAAGGCAAACTGTATGTTCGATCTTCACCTCCCAGTATCTGTCTCATGCCACTGGCCTAATCTGTTTCGTCAGCATGTTGGCAACTAAGCCATGTCTGCGTTTTGTGTCTCGGTTCCACAGGCTCACTGGTGGTTGCGCCAGAGCGTTGACGCGTTTGAACCTCTCAAATCTTTCAAAAGGTTAATCTCTGAGTACAAATAATCATAAGGCCGTTGAAGGACTCTGACAGGGTTCGTGGGGATGAGAGACCGTTAGGTGAATAGTTGTAGTCGTGCTGGTGAAGGCGTAAATCGCCGAAGTTTGTCACTTGATATTCCGGATAGGTTTATTATGTGGTGGACAAGTGATAATGGAAACCAAATTATCGTCCCGAGGAACGTGTGTTCTAATCTCATCGCCGACACCTGAATTTTCCCATTCTCTGTTGTGCAGCAGCTCTTCGATTATCCGCTTTCCCCATCGTAAAATATTTTTCATTAAGTATTCAATAAAACGAAGTAGAATAAAAGTGCCATGAATGTGGAACGAATGCTTCATCCAGCTCGACCGACATTGATCAAAAGTGCATCAACTATCAAACGTTCCCCCCGGGACTTCTGAACCCAAGTTAAAGCAAAATTGTTAGATGAAACCTTGTGTTTTTCCTCTCTTGTTCGTCGTAGATAAAAGAAGCTAACCCCCTGGAAATAACGCCTTGCCGTTCTAGAACCGATAATCGAGAGGAGTTGAAACAATTCTTGGAGCTTTACCACGGCATTTCACCGTTCAATCTTTTGCTCGATTTCCTCTTCCTAATTGCGGTTAATTCATCTAGTAAACATCTCTAATTTGACCTTAACCGGGATCGATATTTGTGAACTTTTAGTGAAACAACATCAGATTCGATATACATTTACGGGGATCCACTTTGATCTTCGCTTGCCCCGTCTGGGTCTCGCTTGCCTCTTAAGGATTCAATCGGACTTATATCTACCATGTGTAGAAAAACTATGGAATAATATCAAGGAGATAGGCTGAAACGTTGTTTTCTTTTCTTGTAGGGATAGATTTTTTCTATTGACTAGCTGACCAGGTCGTTGCAACCAGCCCACTAGAACTTCGAAATACCAAGCAAACACTGACCGATGAATGGCATGGCACGAAATTCGGTTGGGTGTGGTCACCTTAAAAGCAAACCGTGTTTGGGGTTGGATAAGTGGAAATTAACCGAGTGATCAATGAGTACAACACACACAGTTGTAACTCGCTATACATCAGNCGGCTCATAAAATGGGAAAGGGAGAGAGAGTGAGTGTGTGAGTTTATCGACGTATATCTTTGCCTCAATTTAGCAATAACTACTACTGAAATTACCTATACGGCGACGACGACAACTATTAATTCTAGTAGCAGCCTAAGTTGTAGGAATCTATCTACATTTGCCCCCCCCCCCCCCCCTACAAGTTTGCTTAAAAATGAAAATGTGCAAGAGTACAATAAATATGCATTTCTTCTCAGGATAGTGGGGAGGGAATGGTAAAAAGAAAAAAAAGCATAAAAACATGTGGACACAAATCGATCGGGTGGAACTCAGTTATTTTGACAACTGTTGCACGTGGAAGAGAAACTTGTGCACAAGAAAGACATGGGCTACGTGATGCCGGCTGAAATCGAATAGTTGTATACAGTCACCACCACTTGGGCGGGTGCCCCGAATCCCAAAAAGTAGAAAGGGATGGGATGGATGGCTTGGTGGGAGGGGGAAAATGCCACAGTTTGAAACAGGTTGGACGACTACTGGTCACGAGCAATGCCGGCCACATTGGACTCGGCCAGGGGGTCGAGAGACTCGTTGATTAGATTGGGTACGTTTGTCCCGCGCAGTTGTTGCTCCCAAAGTTGACTATAATAGGAATTTGGTTGGCTGAGCAAAGAAAAATGAGTGCCACGTTCTGACAGACGACCGTCTCGTAAGACCAGGATTTCGTCCGCATCAACAATCGTGCTCAGTCTGTGCGCGATCACTAGCGACGTCAGACCAGGCGTGACTTTTGTCAAGCGTCGTAAAATATTCTAAGGAAACAAAAAACGCAAATAACAAAGACGTGGAAGAATTCACTGCGAACAGCATACGAAAAAAGTAGTAAATTTACAATGTGTTTTTGTTGTTGCAATTCGATTTTCCTTAAACGAGACTAAAATAAAAAAGCAATCAATTGGAGACAATTTCCCGGTGTTTTGAGGTAGCACAAAAGTAGAATTTATTTGCTATGGAGTTGTATTCAAGTTTAGAAGTAAGTAGCCATCTATACACGTCTGTTGACTAGGATTTACGAAGACAATGTGCTACGTGTGTCTGTTTGTTTTACGTCAGCGATGCAAGGGGTTAACTGAAACATTAGCAAACTCGTGACATCATATTTCGGTCCAGGTCAAGTGGGATATAAGAAGAACCAAGTGGTTCAGAGCACAATAATGGTAACAAAACCGGTGTGCAACTGCTGGTCTCGGTACAAAAAAAGTTTCCTGGAATAACTGGAGGGTTAGGTTAATTATCTTCTCACAGGACGGCCCGAAAAAACACCATGCTCTGTCGACAATGCCACCATCATCCACGATAGATTATTGCTCATTTTCTGCGGTAGATCTTTCGATAAGAGTTACCTCATGCACATCATTATCGTAAAGCAAAGTACCGTGACGCGAGGTTCGCTGATCGTTGCCAAACTCGCGATGCACACAAGGTGGTTGATAATATTGAAAGGTGGACAGGGATTGAACTTTATACATTATTCCTCGGCAATGGAAAGGTTAAACAGCTGGTAGGAATTGTTCCAAATGCGCATCAAGCAAAGTCAACCATTGTTTCAAAGATCACACTCAAGCTATGTCTGCATAATTAACTTGGAATTTTCCTATATATAGTCATCTTTTGTATCTTTTACCAAGCGTGTACAACTCTCCGGAAGCCGCAGTTCCTTTCTGTGTTGAATCCATTTCTCTCTCTCACTGTCTCCGAACAAATTACTGGGTTATTCACTAAATCGGAAACATACTGCTGAGAGAAATTTTCGGCTGCGGTTTATTTGAACTTTTACTCGGTGTCAAATGGGAAAGCATGATCACAACCCATAAACCCGTCCTAGACCCATATACAACTGAATTGCTTGTGTTTGCGGTCGGGCGAGTCAGCCGCTTTGTGTTAACTTATAGCTACTCCTAAAAGAACAAGTTACAGTAGCAGGAGTAGTCACTGGACTCATTTATTTCACTCTGATCCCATCCGGTTTGAAGAAAACGCACTGTGCATTTTTTCATAGTCGGAGTAAGACGGTTGAATTCCTCTTCCTGGGGATCGAACCCAAGACTTCACGGGCAGAACGCAGGAGGGCTACCCGCTACGCCACCGAGCAGCTGATCAGACCGTTTTTCATTTTCCATTTACACCAGTTGGGTCGATGGATTCCCACTGCTGATGAGACCCAATCAGGCCGAAAAAGCTGTTCAGTGCTTCCTAGCTTTACAGTTCACGCTTCATTTGCCATACAAATGACGAATTCCCATTCGAAATATATATACACGAAACGAGTTCACTGAGAAAAGGTTTTCGACATCTGTATGTGACGAAGATCCGTTGTTGGGTTGCACGCGTTCACATTCCACATTCTCCAAACAATCTCATGGTTTATCCTGATAACGACTGGGGGGGGGGGGCNAACCACTATAGTCCATGGAGGTCGACTACCTGCTCCAGTGGGCGACCGCGATTACCTAAACCCACACCTGACCTCACCAGACTCGCGCCATGCAGCGTTGAAAGCGGTATTCGAACACCGACAAACTATTTTTATCCAATTTTCGTAATGGCCAAGTCTCTGCACCGAACGTTATGAGACCTTCAAGGAAAAAGCAGGATTTTGTAAAGGCAGCACAAATGTCTCAACTGGATACCACTATCCTCGCATAATGATAGGGTTGTTTCCATAATCGAATCTATAAAAAAGTTAAACAGGAAGGGAAAGAGAGAGGGCTCGCCTTGACGAAAGCCGCTTTCAGATCGAGGAAGACAGAGATGGCGGGTCTACGAAAGGAGTATCTGTGTACTAGAGTTTGATGAAGAGTGAAAATGTGGTCGATATAACCTTGACCAAGTCTAAAAACAGCCTGATTCCAACGCGTGTACTGTTCACGTGTGACAGACAATCGACGGAGTACAACACCAGTGCGAAATTTAGAGAAAGTGTTGATTCAACGAATTCTTCTGTAGTAGGTCAACAACAAACAAAATGATGCCCAATCAACAAGCAGGAACACTGACTTACCTGTTCGGTGATTGTGTCCAGAGAAGATGTCGCCTCGTCGTAAATCAGAATCGGGGAGCCTTTGAGCAACGCACGTGCGATCGCGATGCGTTGCTTTTCGCCTCCGCTCAATTTCAGTCCTCGCTCACCCACCTAAAGGGGGAGAATAAATGACAAATAAATATATATCACAGCATACGCATCCACAAAACAGACTTTTTGATTTCTGTTTATTTTCAAAATGGGTGACGATTTCCTGAAACGGAGTTTAGAAAACTATTAGCGGAGGAGAGTTTAAAAACCGATGAGCGCTACTGACAACTACTATTTAGACCGCTTGATCAGAAGCCGGTATTGAATCCATTAACTATTCAGTTCTCCAAATTGGCACTCAAAGGCTCGGGACTAGAGTGAAAGGTGGAGCTTTCGGAAATCGCGGTGATACTTCGAAAACAAAAGACAACGCATAATCAGAAGGAAAAATGTATGCGCCCACACACACGAACCTGAGTCTCGTAACCGTGAGGCATGCGTTGAATGGCCCAGGCCAGATCAGCGAGTTGAGCGGCCTCGTACACTTGATCCGGAGTAGCATTCAAATTGCCGTATTGCAAATTGTAGTAAATTGTGTTGTGAAACAGTACAGTGTCCTGGACAGGTTATAGACAAAAAAAGGAAGCAGGGGGCAGTGAAACAGTAGTAAGTAATAGTATCACAAGGATTTTTACATTATAGGAGAGAAGTGTAGGATTTAGTTCGGTCATATGGTGAAGTTCGCCGTGTACGGAGCAAATGAAACGTGAACTACAAAGTTGGGAAGCACCGGATAGGTGGTTCAACCTTTTAGGGTCACATCAGCAGTGTGAACCCATCGACCCCACTGGGGATCCAACTTGGGGTTTCACAAGTAGAATACAAGCATAATATTCCTTTGACCAACGGACTGCTGATCCCCAATCGGGTCGATCGAGTCGAACTGCACTGATGAGACCCAACCAGGTCGAAACAGTTGTCCAGTGATTCCTAGATTTTGAGTTCACGTTTCATTTGCTCTGTACACTGTGTGAGTTTTGGAATATTTACTTTCTCAAAAGTGAATTTATCGAGTGTATATAGTAAATGAGGCGTGAACTGCAAAGCTAGGAAGCGCTGGATAGTTGTTTCGACCTGGGTTGGATCTCATCAGTGCAGTGCACGAATCCACCGAACCCAATTGAAATGGAACCCGGGAGCTCACAGATAGGATGCAAACATGCTATCCACTCAACCACCGGGCAGCTAATCAGACTGTTTTTCATTTTCCAATGACAGGATTTACTACAGCCCATCTTTGCGAGCTTGTTGCGGGCGACAGACCTAGATCGTCTCAGCACTAGCCTCCGGGTTAGGACTCGGTTGGAAACATTCACAACATGACTACTTGTTTCATGTGAGTAATGGGGGATTTTGTCAGTGACAATTAGCAAGTCCCAGATCAAGCGAGGAGAATATAATCATCATGTATTTTTGTGCCTACCTATACGACAGAATCATTTAGAGCTGGCTGCAATTAGCTAGGCCGAGGACTGGATAATGTTAACGAGACTCCTAGCATACACAAGTGGGCATATTAAGGAAAATAGGCGACAAGGTTGTTTCAGAAAAGAAAAACGGTAAAGATCAAACGGTTTTGGAAAAATTCATTATAACAGTTCGTTTGAGAATTAACTAAATATGTTCTTCTCCTTTCTCCCCCCCCCACCGTTCGACTTCCATCTTGGATTGTAGTAAACGTATTCACCACTTCTTAATCTTTGCAACTAGACCACTGCCAATTCACTCCCTTTTCAAGCACTTTAACTCGACATACAGTTCAGTTAACACGTTGAAAACCACTCATCCACGCAACTGTCAGCACCCGTGTCTTCACCGGAGTGCTTTGGACCCTAAGGTCCGAGGTTCAAGCCCCGCCAACACCACCACCCGACTTGGGTGGTAGGCAGCTCTGCTGTCGTCCGGTTCAATACCACGCCTAACCTATCGAGGCCTTATGTGGTTCGCCACTCCAAGTTCCGGGGCTTAAATGGTCGATTTCAACCATTGAACAGCAGGTCCTCGTGACTATGGGATTTACCCCGTCTGCTGTTCATCACATCTAGGTGTGTGATAAAAAAATTGCTATATGGCATCTCGTTTGAGCCGTTTTCATTTTGCTCTGTTACCTATCGTGTTTTCCATGTTTACCAATAATAAGCATTTGCAAATGCATTACTGATTAAAAAAACCGTACACATATGGAGCGATTGACTGTAATTGGTCGGTTTACCCTTTAAGTACTTTGCTCCCTTTGGTGGTTGTATAATTGTATTTCAAAAACGTCTGAATCTAGACTGTGTGTACCAAAAATCATAGTACAATAATCTTTAGGAAAAAGAAATTTTCACTATTTGTTTGTGAGCGGAATACTGCCAGGTCAAGGTAGATAAATTTTCGGAGGGAGGAATTCTCAATCGAAGCCTTCGGTTAGCCAAAGGCTGACCCGCAAGGCTGCGGGGCAGTGTGTGAGAACCGCAATGCATTGGACAAGGTCAAACTTCCAAGGTGCTTAATACACCCTGATGACCAATCGAGCGGGGGACTAATGCCACAGCCAAGGCGTGGGTGAGTGTGGTTCGTACGACTCTTATGGGATGGCATGGAATCGGGGCTTTTAGTCACCTCCCCTAGATGAACTACCAGTGGTTCACCGACCCGGTTACAGCCCCGGATGTTGGCTTTTTGTCCTCTCACTTTAGTGGGAAAACACCTCCGCCACGAGAAGGCAGTGACTAGAGCTTCTTCTGTGCTTTGGTCTGACGGTGTCCTGTGAGTGGCTTAATTTGTCATCTAGTTCCATTCTTTCATATGTTGAGTGAGCCGGATTACTCACAAACTGAGGTATGTTGTACACGTTGCCAGTTTATCTGGGCCTCAGAACATATAGACTACCAAACTCGTTGTCTACTTGCATGAACTTTGGAGGCTTGTATTTTGCGCATCACTTTATCACTGGGCGTCAATCTAGTAGAAAATCAGTGTCCACCAGTACGGCCGACATCGAGAATACACAGCACTGCTGGTCGGTTTCGACAAGGATAAAATAGCTGTCACTGCTCTTTGTCAGTCTCAACACAACATCAAAAGTCAACAGTAGACTTCTAACAAAATGGTGTTCGTACCAATTACAACCATTCACGTGATTGATGAACAATGCAATGAGTAAACCGCATGGTAACAGAGTATTCCTGTTTGGAAATGAGGAAAAGGGACCTGAACTCCGGGGCCGGAAAGGATGGAGCAAACTACATTGAGTTGCGATTAGAGACAGATGGTGTAAAACAAAAACTGGTCAAAGAAGGAAATCGTTTACTATTGCCTGAACAATTCCTCCTGCACTGTGATTTCACAAGTCAATCGAAGGCTCACAATCGATTTCCAACCCTTCACTATTCAACCAGATGAGCAGCGTCACATTCCCATTGCTTATTCACATAGTACACTACAAAATTCCGTCCACAAAGCCCCGGTGACCGCGAGGATAAGTGAGACTTGGTTTTCCTCTCCCAACCGAGATGCTTTGACGAAGTAGCTACTGGCGGAGAATTAGAAACTACCTTCGCATAGTGAGTCTCTGTGTTGTACTGAAACGAGGTGATGAAAAACCGAATCACAAGTCAAGGGCATTCAGTTCGTCCAGAGGAGTTGGAAAAACCGAAATCCATATCTCCGAACAAGAGACATCAAGATGAGTTCAAGAAACCCAATCAGGCGAATAGTATCGGTTCGATAGGGGGGGGGGGG